AAAAATGTAAAGAGCTTGCGTGTAATATAAATAGATTACATACATAGTCAAATGATGTATTTCTATTTTATATGCAAACTATTTTATGACCCTAAACTTTACATGCAATCACTTTGCATGTAAAGTTTTAAAGTGTAAACTACCAAACAAGCTCTTTATGTGAAGTGAAAGGTTCAAAACCTTTGCGGCTCTAGTGCTCTACTCACTCTACATGCAGGTCGAAGAAGGGATAGTCATGGTTTCCATTTAAAATAAGAAACTCCAGATTTCTTTGAAGTGCTATAACTTTTTTATTTGTTATCCAATGTTTATAAAAAATATATCAAATTTCACATATTTTTATGATCTTTCATATGACACTAATATTGCATATAGAAAGTTAAAAAAATTGAAGTTTTGATTGTTGGAGATTTTTCAATCTAAAATCTTTCTTACGTAAACTCAATTACTAAAATGAAGATTTCATAATTAAAATATTTTATGTACATTCTTTGGTAATTTTTAAAGAATAGGTTTGAAGTAACAACAAATAAATTAAACTCCAAATTTATTTATTTTTACATCAAAATGTTTGCATTTTTAAATCATAATTATTCGCAAAAAGGTAACTAATTTTCTAATATGTGTTGTCGTTGCATGTGTTTTATATGAAATACGTTTTGTACAAGAAGTTGTATTTAACTAACTAAAAATTCAAGACTTTGTATAATATTAGCAGTAAATTTGTTCAATATTATGTTTTTAGAAATAGGGATAATTTTTGTTAGAAAAAATATGGATACTTACTATTAGCCCCTCGAGGGTAGGTCAAATTTATTAGTTCAACCTTACATCTTTCTAAATAACTTGTTTACTCCTCGAGTTTTGGTCATTTACACCGTTTACCCCTTCACCAACATTAATCACATTTAACTTCATATATGGTTTAATCAAATGCATGTTTTCTAAAATAAAATGATTATATATACTCCGTAAATAGGTTACGCCTTTATCATCTTTGACTTCCTTTACATATTGTTTTCCGTATTATTCTTTCATTATTATGCAACATTATTTTTTTTTCTATCACTATAATGTTTTCTTCTCATCATTGAATTAAATCGTTTATATGTTTCGTTTCGTTTTCTTTAGTACACAAAATTAAATAATTTTGGATATATTCCTCACGTGCAAGGTATATGTAGATTACTATCACATTTTACTTTTTATGATGATATCATGTACTCCCCTATCTCAAAGTAAACTTCAAGATTTCTTTTTATCTATCCCAACTTTAAACAACAAAAAATCTACCTTTTAATCGCCTTGCCAAATCAAAATAAGAATTAATTATGAGACGAAGAGAATAACATTTTCACCTTTTCATTTTATAACAACTCTCACTCCGTGCATTGCACGGGTGAAAAACTAGTATGAACATAAACTAAAGGACCCTAGATTATATCATTGCAATGCCTCTATGTCTTGCATTATTTGTTGCGTATTCCCTACATATTTCCTATTAATCAGGCCATGAATTGTGAATAATGGTATCCACAAGTTCATGTGAAAGGACTGTAAAAGCGCAATATGTGTTTCTTAACATGTTCAAGTTATTTCATTGCACTAGCCCTCCATTTATGCGTTTCCCCACTGCATGCTCTTGCACTAATGTCCCCCCCCCCCCCCCCCCCCCCGTGTTTTCCCCTCCATATTTTGCATCGATAGACTTGGAATCTGATTAAATGGTCTACACTAGTTCACGTGAGAGGAAATTAAAAGCACCCTAACTTATATCATATTGCACACGGCTTCAAGTCATGTGTTGTTTAATGCGTTTTCATTGTAATTATTGCTGCGTTTTCCCTGCACTTTCGCCACAATTGCTTGCACTTTTGTTGCCTTTTTCCTTGCATTCAAACCAAAACCAAGGCTCTCTCACGACCCTACGACAAATGCAAATCCAACTTTGAAAAGAAAGCTGGACATCAATCAGGAAGGGGCACACATACCCTTGATCCCAGTAAAAAAGATGTAAAAGGAAAAAACCATACATATCGATGCTGAAATAAGGACATCTGATTCCACACTATCATATACTCGCTCCGTTTTTTTAGTTGCAACGTTCAACATTTCACATTTGTCAACGCACGTCTTTGACCGTAATTATATCTTAATTCTATTAGGAAAAAATATTAAAAATTAGATTTTAAAAAGTTGTAATGAGATAATTTGAACAATATTTTTTCAAAAGAAAAATTTTCATAAAATATTAGCGTAAAATGTAGTCAAAGTAGAGCATGTGAATAAGGTAAAATTCAACATGTTGCGATTAAAACAGAACGGAGGATAATATTTAATAAATAAAATATCAACAATGTGGTTGATAAAAATGAGTGCTCTGGACTCATGTTTCTTTTAATGATGATGTGCCATTTATAAGACACATATTCCTAATGTATTTTGATAATAATTGCTTTTAAACTCTGTGAGGTTTACTATTATGTCTAAATTATACATTTCTATTTTGAATTCAATCATTTTGCCGGTTAATAACTCATTAACTCTCGGTATTTGCACTATTCAATTTTCGACATCTTTCAGAGAACCAATGTTCAAACTCGAAAATAACGATATTATGAATTTTTACCTTTAATTTTCTTTTCAAAACTGCCTTGACGTTTTCCCATATATTGTGACTCCTAAACTCCCGTTATATTTTGTTTGTTTAAATATATACTATCACACTTTTAGTATTGATGCCTTATTTACTTTATCACTATTTATAGTATTTTATGCTAACACCGTCAAAGTCACTTATATTTCATTAGTTGTGAAATTAATATATGTCATGATATATAGCCCCATAAAATTAACATTTCATGGATACTTATGTTGAACACATTCTACACAATTCATTGAAATTTAGCGTTGGACATATAACATTCGCTCAACGCGCAGAGAATTTACTAGTTTTTAATTAATAAAGCTTGAGCAATAAATATTCATGTAATTAATGTTTCAAACGTGAATGTTGCTTTATTACTCTCTCGTTCCCTTAAAAATTTTGTCATTTTTCATTTTTGATTTGTCTAAGAAACATTGTCACTGTCTATTTTAATCAATTAAATTGTGGTTTCTTCTATTTCTTTCTCCTCTGCACAAAGTTCAACTAAATAGTTTTCACTTTATTATTCACCGTGTTAGTCAAACTTGACAAAGTTTTAAGGGATACAAGGAGTATAACTTATGTAGTAAAGTATATTATAAAGTATGCTCTATTTGTTCTGAAAACGCTGTATTACAGAAAACATGTGATGTATTTGATTTGATTATATCTTGTTGTATGTTCTTCCGTTTCAAACGTTTTATATCTCGTTGGAAAGATCATTTTGAATTCAAAATTTGGTTTATTAGGTAACCATCCCGTAATATTTTGATTATAATCAAGGGTAAAATGTAAAAATTATCAATTTTAACGGTTAAACTTAATAGAAATCTAATTAGAAGTCAATTTCAATTATCAATACTTGACTTTATTAGTACTTAGAGTAAATTTTAGACATATTGTTTATACTTGTTGGAAGGGACTGTTGTTGAATGTTCAGAATTATTTGAACACAGAAAAGAGTAAACACGATTGATAATTTTTTTTAATGATTATGAGATAAATTTGATAGATGTTTGATGAGATTAGAAGCGAATCAAAGAATCATACTTGTAGAAATAAAATAGAGTTTATGTTCAAGTGGTAATGAAATATGATGTTTAGTGGGATAAATAGTACTCTCTCCTTCCCCATAATTGTTCCATTTTTTCATTTTTGGATGTCCTCCTATTATTGTCACATACCATATTTGGTTACATTTGTGTGACTCTCATTCATTCTTATTTTATTCTTACTTTATCAACCCGTTATCAACATATAATTCTACTTTTCTTAAAAACCACATCACTCTCTTCCGTCCCAAAATTAAAGGGACAGAGGTAGTATATCCTATGTATAATGAGACGTGATGTTTAATCCGCATTATGAGAGCTTGACCAGTTAATATGTGCTTTGAACGTTGTTTAAAATTAGTATGATGGATACCTTACAATTAATAATTTATCATTATCATTAGAAACAATTATAATTAAAATAATTGTTGTTATAAAAATGTGATCTATTAAATGTAGCGACTATAATAGTAATTTTAGAAAAATAACTTGCGTTCAATTTTTACACTTAAGTTACCATGAGATTATAATATAGTAACTTTTACTTACATTTTTGTAAATACATTTTATTTTAGTAATATTTTAAAAATCCTCTTCAACACGGTCAGTGTTTTATTAAAGCAATTAAACATGTGGAAATCCGAAGATGTCAATTTTAAACGATTCAACTTAATAATGACAGTGTAGTTTCAAATATTTACAATGCTTTACTATATTATTTCTAAAATTATTAATCTTTAATGAGGTTGATAAAAGATATGTTTAGCTAACATACACAATGTAGAGAGCATCACCATTCATAATCTTTACAAATCAATATTTTCCATCATTCTTACCTTTTAAATATTGTTACATAATTAATTTTTAAATAATCTCAAAATCCATTGATGCCTCCCAATCATCATCTTCAAATAATCCGCTTTTTTCTCGATTATGCATTAACGTATTACATATAATTCGGATTCAAATTTTGATACCGGATTATTCTAACAAATAATCTCATTTAATAATCTATGTCCTTCAATGATAATATTCTAAAAAAGTGACATGTCACTAATTTCTACTCCCTCCGTCCCTTATAACTTTGCCAATTTTCCTTTTTGGGATATCCCATTAACTTTGACACTTTCCCTTTTAAGTAAAGAATTTGTAGTTTTTGTTAATTCTCTCGCCTCTGCACAAACCTCAACCACACAGGTTTTACTTTATTAATCTCTGTGCCGGTCAAACTTGACAAAGTTATTAGGAACGAAGGGAACGAACCTTCAAGATTGATATTTCCACTCTAAGTGCTAATGATCAATTTATACATCAACCAGTACAAATTATTATGAGTAATAGACATACAAATATGAGTTTTTGAACTGCAAATGGCCTAATCATTAGCATATTGATTGCTCAGAAAATATAATCGCTGATTCATTCTGCCAAAATAATAAACAAAGCTATTCTTTTATCTAAAATTTCGCCAGGATTCTTCTTTCTAGCTAAGGAATATGAAGGGTTGAACAGTATATGAGTACAGCAATTTTTAATCTAAAAATAAATTACAATCATACCAATGATTTTCTTTATAATAAAAAGAAAGTAATAGAAGCGTATATTCCATTTCAGAAAGTAGCGATTGGGGAGTTGCCAGTAAGGAAGGATTGCCGCTCGTTCCATACATGTCAGCTTAGACTCTGATCGAACTGCTACACTTTTGTGGGCTCTATCGTGTTCATTCTCCTTTGATCAACTATACTTCTAAGCATCCTTACGCGTTCAAATTTGCTTCGTAGTTCCGCATTTCATTATCCGGTGAGCAGCGATGACCGCCTCCTTTCGTTTTGTTTCAGTAGCTTTACTTTACTTTTGCATACCTGTCATCTTTTTCTAAATGAGTTTTGGATCGTTCGGGCTTGCTGCTGCTAGGTTTTCGCCTAGTGGATTCGTTTGTGTTGAGATTTTGTGTATTTAGGGTTTTGTATTGGGGTATGTCATGATATATGATGTCACCTCGATGATGTAAAGTTTAAAGTATTCAATGTTAATGTTGGTCGGTTGGGCGAACACACATTTGTGTACATTCTTATCACTGGAGTTTAAGCATTCAGGGGCTTTCTTTGGTGCCTGTTCTTGTTATGGTTTAATATGATACCGTTTGATGCTTCATATTGAGAGCTAACTGTTTGTGCTATATTGTACTTATAAAGAATTAGTGAAGGGAGTCAATATGTCTATGAATCAAACGAAGACAATAGATTTGGATGAAGGATTGGAATTTATGCAAAAGGGGATTTCAAAGCTAAAGCGGATTTTGGAAGGGCAGCCTGAGTCTTTTGTCTCTGAAGAATATATTTTGCTTTACACGTATCCTTTTCCATAACTAACATGATTGTTCCTTCTTTGGATATTTGTTACTTGTGCCGTAACATTTGTTCCTCCTTAATTGTACTGTAGCACTATCTATAACATGTGCACGCAGAAGCCCCCTCATGATTATTCTCAGCAACTATATGAGAAATACAAGGAAGCTTTTGATGAGTATATCAATTCAGTAGTAAGAACTTCTTCGGGTTGAAGCTTCTATTTTTGTCTATTCTTTTTAGCTCTCCTTCACATTCAGATTGTAGAGGGAATCAGCGCAAAATTTCTATCATTTTGAATGAAGCTCTCTTAACATTTCACTGTGGATAATGATGGTTGGATTAATTATTGCAGCTGATTTTCTAATTCTTTAATTCCCTTTTTAGGTTTTGCCGTCATTGAGAGAGAAGCACGACGAATTCATGCTAAAAGAGCTTGTTAAAAGATGGGCGAACCACAAGATTATGGTCAGGTGGCTCTCTAGATTTTTCTACTACCTTGACCGGTACTTTATTGCTAGGAGGTCACTTCCTCCTCTCCACGACGTTGGGCTTATTTGCTTTCGTGATCTGGTTTGTTACCAGCTTTTCTGTTTAACTTTGTTTGTTAGATTTATTGATATACTTTGTTGTTAGCATTTATGTCCTCTTTGATAACAGGTTTACCAGGAAGTGAGAAGTAAAGCCAGAGATGCTGTTATTGCTCTGGCAAGTCTTATGCCTCCTTAATCGTTTTCACTATTTTACAGATATTGCTGTGCATTTGTAATAAAAGATAAATACTTCCATACCAGATTGATCAAGAACGTGAGAGTGAGCAGATTGATAGGGCATTACTCAAGAATGTTTTGGACATCTTTGTTGAAATTGGAATGGGACAGATGGAATACTATGAGAGTGACTTTGAAGATGCCATGCTCAAAGACACTGCTGCTTATTATTCTCGGAAGGCATCAAACTGGATTGTTGAAGATTCTTGTCCAGATTACATGCTGAAGGTAAATTTTTTTCATTATATGTTATTTCTTTAGATAGTTTACCATGCACGTGCCACTAGCCAAACTGCAGCTTAGCTTCTGTTTTATGTAATTGCAGGCTGAAGAGTGTTTGAAGAAGGAAAAAGAACGGGTTTCTCATTATCTACATTCCAGTAGTGAAGCCAAGCTCTTGGAGGTAGATCGCTTAACAATTTAACATATAGACACCTATCTTACATATTAATGAATGTAATCCAGTAGAACCCTAAAGATGAATATATATATCTATATATATGCACATATACACATATATATTTGTTATGAATACAAAATGATAGGTCCAAGTTCTAGAACTAGGAACCTATTATTGTTTATAATTGCAAAAAATTACTTCAATAAAATTACTAAAATAAAATTTATTTACATAAATATGACTAATAGTTACTACAATGTAGTGTTATGGTAACTTAAGTGTAAAAACTGAACATAAGTTACTATGATTCCATTACTACTTTAGTCACTAGTCCCATTTTTGTAAACAATCTTTATTTTAGTCATATATATGTAATTATTTCATGTTTTTACTGTAAAAAGTTTCTATAACACTGTGTGATTTATTATGCTATAGAAAGTGCAAAATGAGCTGCTAGTAGTATACACCAATCAGCTGCTTGAAAAGGAGCATTCTGGTTGCAGAGCACTGCTGATGGATGATAAGGTATAAAATTATAAATATTTCTGTTCCACCATTAATTTCTATATTCCATTTATTGCATTTATAACTAATCATTCTTTCAATTTCTCCTTTCTATGTCAGTTGGAAGATCTATCTAGGATGTATAGGCTTTTTTTAAAGATTACCAAAGGATTGGATCTGGTTGCCAATATGTTTAAACAGGTACCATTGTTTATTTGTGCCCACATGTTGCTTGAATGTGAATTAGTTGTGTGTATGTAACTATGTATTGCATCATGCTAAGGCTTTCATGTCACTTCTTATCATAGCATGTTACTGCTGAAGGCATGGTGTTGGTGCAGCAGGCTGAAGATGCTGCTAATAGTAAAGTATGCTTCCTGGAAACCCTTGTCATTCTAACAACCTGTATCTACAACTATTTTTTAAGTTCTTGTTGAATGGAGGATGCATTTCGTGTTTCCTTGATAGGTTTAGATCATAAAAATATAGCCTTTTCCTGCTTTTTAATTTCCCTTTTATTGGATTAAAATATTTTGTAAGATTCTCTCCTATAAAGAACACTTTCCTGTTGGAAAATAGTTTCTTTGCCATTTGTGTTGAAGTTAAGTCTTTTTCCCGACTTCTCTTCTATAGTTGTAGTTTAAACATTATATCATGCTGATATGTAACAGAAAAATAGAAATCAACGGGATGAACCGTTGCCCAGATAATCAACGATAAAAATACCGTTGCCCAAAGCCAAAAGGCTAAACTCTAACTTTATTCCAAGATAATAAGAATGAACCCTGGCAAGGGGTATAAATAGCCTTCTACAAGAAACCCTAATCAAGCCCATATTAATTAAACCCTAATTAAGCCCAAATTAACTCAACTAACTACTCTACTAATAATAGGCCCAAACTAAAACATAACATTAACTTAATAATAATAATTAAACTATAACGACAACCCTAACTCGGCCCACGGAAGTGGGCCCAAGCCCGGTCCCGCCCCATGCTCTTCCTGCTCTCTATCAATCCATCCTCCTTCAAAATAACCTTGTCCTCAAGGTTGAAAGCTGACAGATGGGGAGCTGCAATTCTCAGACATAGAATAGACTGGAAAATATCCTTTCTCTCTTTCCTTAACTCTTTCCTGGCCGGTTATTTCACAGTACTCATGCTGTTGGAGGTCTAACTCTTCCTCCTCGGCTATCATTACCCGCAGCTGCTTAAAGGGACAGTCGTGCCCCGGTGTAAATGGTTTCTTACACCTAAAGCATAATCCTTTCGCCCTCAATTCTGCGAACTCCTTTGGCGGAAGATGAGTGAACTGAGAGCGTGTCGTAGGCTGCCCGGACAGCCCTGACTTCGTCCCCGGAGGCTGTCCACTATCCTTCGCAAAGCTGCCCCTTGATCCCTGCAAGCTGCCACCACTGGCAGTCAAAGGAGGACCCGTGTTTGCCATTAAAAAGCTGCTGGAACGTACCCCTGCAGAATTATAATTCGGGCTGCCACTTCCTCCACTTTGGACGGACAGATTATGCTCCACATCGCGAGCTAATTCCATGGCTGTTTCCAGGTTTTCTGGCCGTAATAAGCGCAGGGAACTTCGGATTGCTTCCCCAAGTCCACTCATGTAGTAGCCCAAATAATGATCGTCGGTCAATCCCGGAACTTGGCTAGCTAATTGAACGAACAAGGTATTTTATTCCTCCACCGACCCAATTTGTTTGACGCCGGACAGCCGTTCAAACCTGTTTCCCTGATATCGGGAATCAAATCTGGCCACCAAGGCTTGCTTAAATTCCTCCCAAGATATGCCAGGTTTGCGCGCCTTTAACCACGTCACCCAATAGAGGGCAGCCCCTTCCATAGAAACCCTAGCCGCTGCAACTTGTCTGTCTGGTGGGGTCCTGTTGAGCTCGAACTGCTGCTCCACTCTCGCCAACCACCCAGTTGGGTCTTCGCCATCGAATGAGGGAAGTAGCGTTGTGGCTGCGGTGCGCAGTCCGCCATCATCGGAGAAGACAGATGCGACGTGGCCGGAGGAATCACTCTCGACGGTCGCAATGGGAGATTTCTGCGGCGGCACCATGGCCTTCGCGATTGCTGCAAGAGAGGCTGCGATTTCCGCAAGCTGGGTGGCCTGCTCTTCCAGTTTCTGACCTTGTGTGTCAAGTTTCTGTCCCTGCAGATCAAGTTTCTGTCCTTGCGTGTCAAGTTTTTGATTGATTAGGGCCTGTTCAGCCTCCAATTCTGATAAACGTTCGTTTGTTGATCTCGTCATTCCGGCGGGACGGGATCCGGCAGGTCGGACCAATTGATATGTAACAGAAAAATAGAAATCAACGGGATGAACCGTTGCCCAGATAATCAACGATAAAAATACCGTTGCCCAAAGCCAAAAGGCTAAACTCTAACTTTATTCCAAGATAATAAGAATGAACCCTGGCAAGGGGTATAAATAGCCTTCTACAAGAAACCCTAATCAAGCCCATATTAATTAAACCCTAATTAAGCCCAAATTAACTCAACTAACTACTCTACTAATAATAGGCCCAAACTAAAACATAACATTAACTTAATAATAATAATTAAACTATAACGACAGCCCTAACTCGGCCCACGGAAGTGGGCCCAAGCCCGGTCCCGCCCCATGCTCTTCCCGCTCTCTATCACATGCCTAGAACAACCTATTTCATGGAAAATGCTTTCAACATCATCTTATTTTGGGAAGCCTAAATTGTGCAAATTTGCTTCTATTTCTGTTTTTAGGTGAAATGCGCACTAGTTGTTATATGGTTGTACTGACAAAATTTTCCTTGAGCATTACAGAGTGTATTTTAAGTATTAGTTTACATTCTTATACAGGCTGAAAGCACTGCTGGGAGCTCACAGGAACAGGTAAATACTTTTTTTAATGCACATGTTTCACCCACTAGTACATGTGAAAAGTTTAATGTTCAGAAGTACTGTTTGTTTGGTACAAAACTTGTTTGTAATGCTACTAGTTAGATAACTCAAGATATTCTTCCTGCTTATTTTTAAAGACTGAATTGTTCTATTATGGATGTTGTGTCTTTCAGATCTTTGTTCGGAAAGTGATTGAGCTTCATGACAAATATATGGCATATGTGACAGACTGTTTTTCGAACAATTCTCTTTTTCATAAGGTAAGCTAAATATCTTATGGCTCTGTTGGTATGCTATTTGTACTGTTTTTCTAAATAACAAGTCTCGGTTTCCTATTAGGCATTGAAAGAAGCATTTGAGGTATTCTGTAACAAGATTGTTGGTGGGTGCTCCAGTGCTGAACTCTTAGCTTCTTATTGTGATAATATCCTTAAAAAGGGTGGTAGTGAAAAACTCAGTGATGAAGATATTGAGGAAACATTGGATAAGGTAATACACAAACTAATTTGGCAGACCTGGATTTTTTCTTTATGAATATAGTGGAATTTCTGTCTTTCTCCTATAAAGTTGTTATGCTGCTGTCTTGACTGGTGGTATATCACACACTTTGCAGGTTGTCAAGCTTTTGGCATATATCAGTGATAAGGATCTTTTTGCTGAGTTTTATAGGTGATAATCTATGACTACTGTTTTTTTAAAAAAATATTTTAGTGTGTATACATACATACATACATACATACATACATACATGCACACATACACACATGCACACATGCACACATGCACACATGCACACATACACACATACACACATACATAATGGTTTTCGATATAAATTCATTTGGCTCTGCATAGGAAAAAGCTGTCCCGTCGATTGCTTTTTGATAAAAGTGCAAATGATGATCATGAAAGACTTATCTTAACAAAGTTGAAGCAGCAGTGTGGTGGACAGTTCACCTCAAAGATGGAGGGAATGGTGAGTGGACCCCCCGAACCCCCCACTATATTGCTTCTTTCTGTAAATGTTAATATATCCACCATGTCTTCCAGGTTACAGATTTGACTTTAGCAAAGGAAAATCAGAATAATTTCCAAGATTATCTCAACAATAACCCAGCTGCTAGTCCTGGAATCGATTTGACTGTTACAGTTCTCACAACTGGATTCTGGCCTAGCTATAAATCGTCAGATTTGAGTCTCCCAGCAGAAATGGTGGGTTCTACTTAGAATGTATTGATTATTGAATATATATAATGTATACAATATATACAATTGGATATCCGATATATATAATTGGATATCTGATTGTAGTTTGGTAAAGCTATAATTTATGCGGCTCTATTGTCACAGGTGAAATGTGTGGAAGTTTTTAAGGAATTTTATCAGACAAAAACGAAACATAGGAAGCTTACCTGGATTTATTCTTTGGGAACATGCAATATAAATGGGAAGTTTGAGACCAAAACTATTGAATTGATACTGGGAACTTACCAGGTGATGTGTTTTTATTTAGTTGCTCCCTTGCAAGGTTATTTAGGACACCGATTCTATCTTTGTTTTGTTGTCATTGACAGGCTGCTGCATTGTTGCTATTCAATGCATCAGATAGACTGAGTTACCAAGATATTAAAAGTCAACTGAATTTGGCTGATGAGGACTTGGTCAGGCTGCTACAGTCTCTTTCCTGTGCCAAGTATAAAGTTCTGATTAAGCAACCTAGCAACCGCACTGTTTCTCCCAATGATCATTTTGAGTTCAACTCCAAGTTTACTGATAGAATGAGGAGAATCAGGGTAACTCTTCTCCCCTTCTGTTTTGGTTTCACAATAGCTTGGTATCCACATTTGTTTGGTTGTGCGGATTTGGAAAGTGGAGGAAGAAAAGTGTTTTATTTGTTTGTGAGAGTTGGAGGGAAGAGAGGGGGCAGAGGAAGTGAAAGTCTAGACTCCAATTTCTCATACCCCCCCCCCCCCCCCCCCTTCCCAGTTTGGGGTATTTGAGGCTTACTTATTATAATAATACATATTTTTAATGCACTGATTTTTGTAATTTTTTCTTAAGCACAACATAATTTCTTTAAACTCCTCCTTTCTACTCCCCTCTCTCCTCCCAAAATCTCGAAGTTTAATTTCTAAAAATATGCCGGATGATACTCGTGATCTTGTGCAGATTCCCTTGCCTCCGGTGGATGAAAGGAAAAAGGTGGTGGAAGATGTTGATAAGGATAGGCGTTATGCTATTGATGCTTGCATAGTGCGAATCATGAAGAGCAGAAAAGTGTTGACCCATCAGCAGTTGGTTTTAGAGTGCGTTGAACAGTTGAGCCGTATGTTCAAGGTATATGCATTTTCCAGTGTTCTCTTCATCTTAGTCTTTCCTAGAATGTTTTTTATTTTAATCTATTTACCGTTGAAGCCCTTCTTAACAATATTCATGTTATCCAAGATCCTGAGTTGGTTTAATCTTGTATGTGTTTTGGTAGCCTGATTTCAAGGCGATCAAGAAGAGAATAGAAGATCTAATTACGCGAGATTACCTGGAGAGGGACAAAGAGAACCCAAACATGTTCAAGTACCTGGCCTAAAACGGGCTTTTGCCTGCCTGCCCTCTTGAATGGATTTATCACGTATTGGAAGGAAATCAATATTTGCTTTTGCAGTATAGTTTCTTTGCTTAGACTAGTTTGTTAGTGCATGCATTCTGGGTCGGTTTTTTGGATTTTAGCCCTCCTACCTCATCTAAATTAGAGAGCGAAATTGTGCTGCTGTTAATAGATTTGGATAGATCCGATGGATGAATGGAATGGCAATGATACAAGTTTGATATAGTAGATGATGCTCCCCTTTTTGTTTATAGCGTCCTCTTCTTTAAGTAAGAATTGCAAAGCTTGATCCTGTCTTTATTCCACGTTGTATGTACTTTTCTACCGTGCCTTGCACAGACACACACACTCATCTTAAATTGCACTTCGTATGATGTACTACCTCTGTAACACAGATGATCTTCCCATTTTGACTTTTCACGGTCTTCTAAGTTGAACTTTGACTCTAAATATCTACATATCTATATTTATAAAATTCATAATAAATTAACATTCAAATAATATGTTTTACAATGAGGTATATGAAATAAATTTTTAATCATAACATAATGTGAGTTTTGAATAATTAATGGTCAAAGTTTAAAAAGTTTGATCCAAAAGAGTCAAATTGGGAAGATTCTAGAGTTACGGAGGTAGTATAACATTAAAATTTTGAAGTGAACTTATGATTTTTTTTATGATATATCCCTGGAAAGACTCTAACTTTGAAAAGTATACTGGAAACGATGGAATGAAGAATGGATATTGGATAGTATTCAAAATGAAATTTCAGAAAGTCTTGTTTTAAAAATTTAAATCCAATTGAGAGCAATATAGTCCAAGATTTTTATTCTTTTTACTAACTTTAATGGCATGTTTCAGAAAAGTGCACCAAGAGCGTCACTTTTGTGATGCACAAGATTTTGTCAAATTCAAACAACTAATGCAAGAGCAAAACTTCAAAAGATTAAAGAGGAAACTTTCCCAGCGATACTAATTATGTGGTCTAGAACATTTTGTGAATATAGAAAGTCTGTCAACTCGTTCCAACTTCAAGTACTTGCTGGTTAATGTGACAACTGAATCATGCTTCATTTAAATGAGACTTGATGGGATTTTACTGAATTGAAACCTACTCAGGGCCTCAGGCTGTGAAGAAAATACTAATTCACAGTCAATTCTTGGTATACATATTTTTACGTGTTTGTTAGTTTGTAGTTTGTACATGTCTCCAATTTCATTTGCATACTTGATGCTTCTTTGGTAGTAATTTAGTACTACGTACTTAAATAACAGAAATATCGACCTTTATATTATCATTGCACTTTCTAATTTCAAAAAATATCACCTTTTCCTGTTTACCAAAAAGTGACCTTTTAATTAATCAAAACGGATCTGTATAGTAGCAAAGCATCCCTTCCAGCCATAGGGAGACCAACCGATCGATCTCCCAGCATCGGTTCTAGCTTTCAGTGCACTCTTCCAACGCCATCGAATCAGGACAAGTCTGCCGCCGCCGCCGTCGTGTATCTTATCCTTCTATGCAAAATCTCGAGCTAGGTTTAGGGCAGCGGCTGGGAAAGGGGGCTGTCCAGTAGGGGGGGGGGGGGGGGGGGGGGAGCTAGGAAGGTGGCTAGTAGGGTGGTTGAGGCTGCGAATCCTGCGATGATTGGGGATTGCGACAATTTCTCATATGCAAGGTTGTTAAAATCTAGATTTAAATCGTAAAATCGTACGATTTTATGATTCTACATTAGTATATCGATTCAAATCGCACGTAAAATCGTAAAATCATAAAATCGTATAAAATCGTAAAAAATCGTACAAAAAACGTATAGAATCATTTAAAATCGTAACAAAATCGTAGCAAAATCTTATTAAGTTTTTTTAGTGAAAATGGTTCAAATTTATTAAAATTAACTACTACAAATTGATACATAATTACAATAATAGTAATATCAATAGTATATTTAAAAAGTAATGGATTCTTGTGTTATTTAATTATTTTTATTTTTTACATATGTTTAATGTTATTATTCACTACATTTACATTATTAAAAAAGTTTATGTCATGTTTAATGGTATAGTTTTATGCAATGAAATGATATAATACAATTAACTTGCAGCTTAATATTAATATTTATTTATTTTATAATCATTAAGATATGTTTGATAAAATCTTACGATTTACGATTCGATTTTCAAAAACATCTACCAATTCGATTCAAAAATACGATTTTAACAACCTTGCTCATATGGGGCTAGGGGCAGGATTTGGGGCAAGGGCAGGGGAAGCTAGGGAAGGGATGTGAGGAAGGGGGTTTGGGGGTTGGCAACAACAGTGGTAAGGGAGGTGGGGCAGATGGTGGCGGTCGGAGTTTGTGTGACGGCGATAGTCAAAGTTGGTTGGGATGTGGCGCTCAGAGTTTTTTAGTGTTACCATAAATTTTCAGCACGTGGGAGGTTGGGACTTGGGAGGGGGTGCAACGGTGTCAATAAAAGGCACCTGAAAATTTTCAGCAATCATAGTGACACGTTTCACGACGACAATGATACTCATTACATGGAAATCTGGTAGTTACAACTCTAATGACATAAAAAATTACAATGACATCATGTTTTTCAAAAATGTCCTTATAATCACATTTTTGTCAATATTCAAAAACAGTCATATTATTGGAAATTCGCTTTCAGTTTTGACCTAAATAACATCCAACCCCTAAATAATTCGCTTAGTACATATAGTTGATTTTTACTAAAACATTAACGGTCTTAAAAAGTGTTTAGAGATGCATGACCCATTAGTTGAGAATATGTTATATATACCTGGGAATATTTTCGTCATTTTTATACAAACGATGAACTCGTGAACTGTAAAAGCTCATTGAACATGAAACAGCTGTTTTTCCAGTTCACTTCTTAATAGTGAATGGACCAGAATACTTTATGGTCAATACAACACCAAAACGTTACACATTATAATCTACAAAATGGTCCTTTTTCTTGCACACACCTATTTATAGCATTTAATCAACATGATTGGGATGAGACTATATTAGCGCAAGCTTATAATATTTCCTTTATGTACACAAAAATGCTATACTTTTTATTGCAAAAGAGAATAATTTATAGTCCGAAATCTACAAAATGGTCCTTTTTCTTTTAGACCATGTATGATGTCTTTTGTATACGATGCTCCTTAGCTCTTTAACGGTTTCCACTTCCTATGGTGAAAGCAATCTTTACCTTGATGATGATGCCGAGCGGCCCGAGCCTCCTTCAAACTGTTCCCGCAACGCATCATATTTCTTAAGCTCAGCCATCGACAAGGAAGGAGACAGATCTTCTAAGACCTTCACAAAACCAAAAATAACTGTTCAGGAACCCAACATTCTAACATCTCATTAAAAATGTCCATATAAAACTCATGGTCATCACCTTTAAAAAATCATCATGCTCGACTACTATCGTGTCTTGTGTGTTGCTTGAGCCGGTAGAATCATCAGGACCAGTAGCTAACGCCTGCAAAAAATGCATTAAAAACTTGGTTGAACACCGTATGTATGCACTATCTAAAAGAACCATGTAATGCAAATTGGGGTTTGAGTAGTAGTGTAGTACCTGAACCTGAGAATATACATCGAGTGCATATTACTCTAAATTATAATAGAAGAAATAATGAAAAATATATTACAAAAATCAAAAACATGGACTACATATGAATTATACAACATAGCGACTAAATGATATTTTCACCAGCTATTATAAGATGGGAGCGGCCCATGGTAAGCATCATACTCTCACAACTAAAACAATGTCATTTAAGTTTTAATTAAAAAGACGCACGCGAAAAGTAAATATGTTTTTGTCTCAATATATTTTGTGATGTATATCTCTCTTAGTGGCAAATGTAACTCGTGCACTGGAATCTAACATGCGCTACTCTCCGTTTTTTTTTGGACAGAAGAAGGATTAATTATCATTAAGAGCATCATTGTTCAATACATGTAAAATAAAGCTAGGAGGAGACCAGCACCAAGAAATACAACCAGACAGAACACGCCGCTTGGGCAAAACCATGAGCCGCCTTGTTCGCTGATCGTTTAACATGAGAAAAGAAATTTCCGTAAAGCTAGAGACTCACTTGTCCCATTCAAGATTTTCGAGATCGCCCAAGAAGCATCTGATTCCACATCTACAAAATCCCACCCTTTTCCTTGTACCCAACTAAGAGCTTCCCGTATCCCAACCAAATCTGCTTCCCACGCAGACAGCTGACCTTGCCAAGTCTTTGAAACTCCTGCCACATACTCCCCGAATTCATTTCGAAGAATCCAACCCAACCCACTGCAATTGTCTCTAATGGCCGCATCGACATTTAATACTCTCTCCGATGCTTATTCTCTCACATTTCATACATGAAATGTAAATCGCGTGTATGTAAAATTTAATTTCAGACAAGTGAAAATGCTAATGGTGTGTACGCAAAATGTAACTTGCTCAGGCAAGTCGAAATATAAATCACGGTAATTGAAATGTAACTTGAGACAAGTCGAAATTTAAATTGTCTAATACTATCGTATAAGATATATAGCTTGAAGAAATGTTGCAGGTCTTCATATACAAATAAATATTTTTTATTTTAGATTAATAAAACTTCACATTTGAATTGATGGAGGGAAAAAAGACCTATGTTTTTTTGGAGTTGAAGAAAAATGAAATCATGGTTAGATTATTAATATTTTGATGGAGAAAAAGATTGAAGAAGAAAAGGGATTTTTTTTGATGATGAAGAAAAACAAAATTGTGTTAGATTCTTAATATTTTAATGATGGAGAAGAAGATGATTGAAGGAAAGAAAAAAATTAGGGAAAGAGATGACCGGAGAGATTGACGAAGGAGAATAGATGGCAGGAGAAGGTCTATTTGCTGATTTTATTAATTAAAGAACGACACCATATTGGGACCGGTAAACCATGCATATTTTCACTCACAAATAACCATAGTGTGATGAGGTTTTACTCTGCAGTGAGACTATTTTTGTCCATTATCTTATAAACCTCTAAACAATTAAAATGATAATAGGAATACTTAGTTTCATAAATCAGTTTCGAGTACCGTGCATAATGCTAAGTGAGGTAGGGAAGAAATTACTCTGCTTTTGAACGGGTCCTTGTGGGGGGGACTCTCACCTTGCGCTTTGCAGCACGAAACCAAGCATCAGCACAAAGTGCATACATGTCAGCTCCTGTAAAGTTGGGAGGGCATTTCTTTGCTATTGAGAGTAGAGAAACATCTTCATGGATCTTAAATTTACGAGTCAATGCTTTAAGAACCCTACAAAAACATTTGTAACTTTCATATAAAACACAGGGACTATAAATAGTTGCAATGAGCCACCCCACTTGTTTTTGTTTCTCGTTTCTTTTAGTATATTTTTACAATAAAAATGCGTACAAATAATTTATTTTCAGGCCGCACACCAAACTTTGGGGGTGTGGCAGCAACTTAAAAAAATAAAATACAACTAACCTCTCCCTGTAAGATGCTTCAGAGTTAACTCCCACATATAAGAGCTTATCAAACCGACCTGGTCTCAAAAGAGCAGTATCAATAAGATCAGGCCTGTTACTGGCTCCTATAATGAACAAGTCCTGTCAATCAGACACCAAAGAATTGGGTTTGCTAAGAACAAGGAATTTTTTTGGGAAAGAAAATAAAGAGGATAATCGGAAAGAGAGAAGTTTGAGGGAAAGTAAAAGATAGGCACAACTCAATACATTTATTTTAGATATTTGCTGATGTTTATTTATGTCCATTCATAAAGAAATCAATCTAAGCATATGTAATTTTAAGAAAAAATAATAAGCGTGCTCTATTTTCATTTGCATTTCCAACATAAAACCCAACATTAATATATTTCTTGATATTTGGTCTCCCTTTCAGGATCCTAACATTTAGGGCCAAAAGAAAAGAAAGTGAAGTAACTGATTGCATTAAACACCATAACTTACCTGAGTAGAGTCATTGAGGCCATCAATCTCAGCAAGCATCTGAATTGAACAACTTCAATCCATCAAATAATGAATGTGCAAGATTTTATCCTGTTTCGCTAAAAACTAAAAGCGGCTCAAGCAATCTGGGTTATGAGGAAATTATATGTATTGGTTTATGAAACTAAAATATATAATTAATTCACAACAATTCCGCTCTATTCGTATTTATTTGATTGATTATTTGAATAAAGGGAGAATTAGGATGTGAAAAAAGGTTTCCTATGGAAAAAATACCAAACCAAACAATACCCTCAGAGCTAGTACCTGAGAAACCACACGATCCATTACTCCTCCAGAATCGCCAGAAGCACCCCTAGCAGGGGCAAGAGAGTCAAGTTCATCAAAGAATATGACACACGGGCGAGCAGACCTGGCCTACAGAAATTATTATGTTGAATATGATTAAAAAACATGGAGAATTAGATCAGCACTTTGCTTAACGAAGAAGGAAGGAAAAAATCTCTTGCCTTCTGAAAAATGTCACGAACATTTTTCTCTGACTCCCCTATGTACATATTAATTAATTCGGGTCCTTTTACGCTCAGAAAATTCAGGGAGCATTCAGTAGCAACCGCTTTTGCCAGTAAAGTCTGTAATTGACAGCAGGATAGGATCAAAGATGAACAATAAGGGTCTGTTATAAAAATGAGAAGATAATTGGAAGAAAAAATTGGGGAAAATAAAAGACAATCTCAAACTCAGTACACATATTTCACATATTTTTCAAACACATTTGATTTGTTTATGTCTATTACTCTATTATATAGAGTGAGAATTTAAAAAATATACACCCTTTGTTCCTTATTAGTTGTCTAACTTTTCTTTTTGGGCTGTTCCAAATTACTTGTCTCACTTCCCTTTTTGGAAATGTTCACATAAAAAAGCTACTTAGGTACATCTTGAAAAGGTTTACAGTACCGGTGGGCGTAGCTCAACTGGTAGATAGGGGGTGCCACAAGGGGTAAGTCTCGGGTTCAAATCCCGGCAAATGCGATGAGAGGTTACTATGCTAAAAATGCTTAGGGCCTTTGCAAGTACCAGGGCCAGAGCCCCACTCTCTATCTACCAGCTTGTGATTAAAGTCCAACTTACATCCTCCCATCTAACTGTCCGGTCGGTGTTGGGGGGCCCTCAGGGATGGGGCATCATCCTATATTTTTTTTTGAAAAGGTTTACGGTCCCCAAAAAAGCAAAACCCCAAAAAAGCCACGTTCTCTGATCCCTAAAACACTTTATTAGACTATGTGAAACCCATCACGGGACAACTAATTTGGAAAGGAGGGAGTAAATTTTATAAAAACAATAACCATATTTCATTTTCCTTGGCATTTCCAAGGTAAAGACAAGCATAAGATTATAACTTTCCATATACTCTCCTAAGCAATCCACTACTGAGAAAAGCATGACATGAAACAGCTAAAGACAATACACTCACTTTCCCTGTACCGGGAGGACCATAAAGAAGAACCCCAGATCGCTTGCGTAATCCAGATGAAAACAAGTCTTTATGTAGTAGAGGTAGCTGCAAAATGAATTGTGGAAGACAATTTGTAAAATATCACAGACTAAAGGGCAACCTGGTGCACAATTATGGACAAATTTGACATCCCATGTCACCATTCTTCCCTATTTCAAATGATGCATATTCACTTTAAGCCCTTGTTTGGTTCACAAGAGGGAACCGGAAAGAGGAAATGGAGGTGATTAAAAAACAATGCTTGGTTCAATGAAGGAGTGGGGAGATTTCAGATAAATATGTGAAAATACTGTATTTGATAAATTTTGGTTGTAATTACAAATATATTAAACTACATGTACTACAGTAATAATGTAGACTAATTTTTGTAAAAGAAGGCAACAGGAATCAAGAAAAAATGACTCCCCCCAAAATTCTCCACCCAAAGACGCTATTATTGAAATGATGCTAAGATCAGTAAAACATTACCTGCACAGTGTCCATAATAGATTTTTTCACATCCTCAAGCCCACCAACATCCTCCCATTTCACATCAGGAACCTTCTCTACCAGAAAAAAATGTATGCAGATATTTTTATTTACTTATTCACAAGTAAACATGTAGTTTTAGTGTTTTACTATTTATGGCTGAACTGTACCTTTGGAGTGCCCAAAGCAGATGCATTCCTTTTCTTTGATCGTTCCATTGATTTCATTAAATCTTCTTTGCTTAAGACTTGAGATGGACTCACCATATCATCACTGTCAAATGAATTGATCTCCAGGGAAATGTCTTTGTTCAGAACTTCAGTCTCACTTTTTTCATGATTAATGTTTAGGGTGGAGATCATATTTGCACTAGCATCAGCAATTAAAGCACGCAAATCCCTTGGCATAAAACCAGATGTCTGCCCAACAATATCTTTTATCAAGTTCTCTGTAGAAGTCTGCAATGAGTAATAAAAGCGAATAAAACTAAGGCTATTTCCTTGAGACAGAGGTAGTATGTTTTTAGTTTCAGAAAAACATTACTAAACGAAACCTAGGTTTTGTATAAGCTCAGCAGCCATAAGACCAGTAAGGCAATGTTTGAGTTTGCTTGTGCTTGTGAAAAGTGATTTATCTTAGAGTTAGTTTAAAAAGAAAGTGCTTAATGGTAAAAGCCGGTAGTGTTTCAACTAAACGTGATTCTTTTTTTTGGAAGAATGTGGCTTAAATTGAAATCTCAACATTTAGATGATGGGTAATCCGACAAACAGAATCCTGACAATCGCCGTCCCGCGAACCAGACTCAGAGTTAATCACCTCAACAGAAGCAATATAACTCGCTGATCCACTAAACGTGGTTCTTAAAAAGTAGAAGTTATAGTGTTTGTTAAAAAAGTACTTATTTAAGTAAAATATTATAGAAAAGGTGAAAAGAAATTTTAAACACCCTCCCCTGCTTGCAAATTTTAGCTTTTAAGTCATTAAACAAGCATCACTTTTAGTTTTCTCAAAGCAAAAAGCAAAAAGTGCTTTTCAGGTGTTATTGCAAACACTCCTTAAGTCGTAGATCAAGAGTTATATAGAAGAACAAAACAGTGAGGAATTTAACGTCATGTGCATTTGGGGCCCCTGCAGTTCGGCGTTCAAGATACTTGGACACCATCTCTTTCCTTTGCTCCTCGGTCAAAGGCCCCATACTAACTTCATGGCTAAAACATCGTCTAATAGTTGGTGGAAGCCCTTCAGCACTATCAGCAGCAGCAATAAACAGAACTCGGTGCCCACTGGTTCTATGGCCCACCTCTCCTTGTTGCCCCTGAACAATGAACTTTTCATTCACAATTGTCTATGCTACCATTTTATCATAACATAAGCAGTTAATTAAGCACATTAAGCTTGGCTGTTATAACTAATCTTAAAGGAGTCAAGTACATTGCATGAGATATAATAATTACTTGTAGTGCATGGGATCCAAATAGAGTTTAAGATGGGGAATGGCTATTTATAAGTAAATTAAAGAGAAAGTGAAGAAAACACAGATACAATGTTAAAAGCACACGGGAACACACATTTTTTTTTACATGGGAACACATATATCCTCAATAGTTCACTCACAAACCGGTAGTCTACCAAAACAAGACATGAAGATCTTTACGATAATACATCAATTACTCATAATTAAAACAAAACTATATACTTACAAGTAGCCGAAGAATTGAAGCCTTCATTAATACTCTATTTATTTTGTTAATATTCATTAATCTTTATGGTTTAAAGTAAATATAAAAATCACAAATTTTCTCAAAATTCCTATTGATATTAATATACACAAAGTAATTGAATTTCACATATTGATATTAAGTTCCAACCGATTTCAAGTACATGCAAATTTCAGGTTCATGGAAATTGAAATAGAGAATTGCACTTACACCATCACCAAGGTTTGAGTTTATTTCAAAGTGAAGATCTTCATCCCCAGGCTCGGTATATTCCTTTATGATAGATGCAATGTCTAATTTGGAGCCACTTTGCTCATGTGGTGATCCCTCTTGTTGAGAACCCAGATCACGAAGGGCATCAAAATGACGTAAAAGAAGAATTGTCGGAGAGTAACTGTATCCAACATTGTTTTTTTGGATTGAAAAAAATGAGATTCAAAATGAGAATCTGAAATTTAGAAAACTATGCACAATATAACTAAACACAGTGTCAGTGAGAATAATAACCATGATAATCACATTAATGATTAAATAATTCACATTAATGAATAAATAATTTCATATATGCATTTTTATAACTCTGGAGTATCAAGGTACCTGTGAGCTACATTAAAAGCTTCAGCAAGCAGAGAAGATGCCTTTCTTTCAGAGGACACAAACAGATCGTGACAATTATATTCTACCAAATGCAGGCCTAACTGACGAGCTACAAATTTAACTATCGTAGTTTTACCGATGCCTGCAGAATTTTTGAGATATTAGTAAAGGGAAAATATGCAATTAAAATAGAGTAATTTAAGTTGTATCCCTCAAGTCCGTTTAGAACCTGGAAAACACTAGGGAAAGAGAATAGGAAATAACAGCATAGAGGAAAATTGGATATAAAGAGAATGTGCACAAAAATGAGATATGGGCGAAACACTAAGATATTCAAATATATGTCTAATTTAAAAAGCTTTTCCTTGCATTTCCCCCCTTTTCCTCACATTTTCCGAGATCGGGACATACCTGTAGTGTACAAATATGTAAGTGAAGTCTTCTAATTCATACTATCCAAAGAAATGCCTATAGCAGCATTAGTTTCTTTTAACATTCGTTAGGTTCATAAGAGGGGAGAGGACAGGAGGAAAATGGGAGAGATGAGGGGATGAATAGAGGAGCTTCTAAAGATGTATATATGGTTCACTGATGGAGTGAGAAGTCATTATTATTTTTGAAAAATACCAAATATTGTACAATAACCAATCCATAATCATAATTTATTAAGGTAGAGTGGTAGGACAATTACAGAAATATTACATTTCAAGTTTTGTTGTTATAAAAAATATAGTAAAAGATATATTTAACAATAATAATGTAAAACAGTTTTTGATTAAAAAAGGTGAAAAAAATTAAAACAAAAAATATAACTCCTCCAAAATACCCCAAATTGGGGAGTGATATATGATAAGTTTGGAGGAGTCTATAGCTGCTCCACTTTCCCACCTGACTCCCCAACCAAACACACATCACTCCTTTCCCTCCAACAAAACTAGGGCTTATGCAAGTATATGTTGAAAGAAGACCCAGAACGGTAACAAGATTACATGTATATTTTACATAGAAAATCAGCACATGAATAATTAAAGATACCAGGCAAGCCAGATATAAGGACTGCAACCCTGAATTTTGAGGAAAGTGGTGATGGACATAATGCGGGCATAAGAATGGAGGCCAGAGTCTTCACAGTGTTCAGTTGCACAGGCAAGACACATTGTGGACCAGGAATTAAAAAATATGGGGGGATAGCAGAGGGAGCATTCCCTCCAAGCACCAGTGCAGTTTTAGAACGGTTGACTCTCAGAACCGGTTCCTCTGATGGTTGCATGTCCACAACCTACTCAAAATATAGGTAGACTATAATAATACAATGTAATGTTCATGGGCATATTGAAACATTACACTAAGTCTTAACATGCGTTTGGCACCAGAAATTTTCATTGATCCTTGAGACTTTTTAAAAAATAATTTTCATTTCTGTGGGTCAAACATTATATTTTACATAGAAGCATAAAACAGATGACTTTTTATGAAAACAGTTTTCAGGTAATCATTTTCCACAAGTTGTCTCCTGATGAAAATGGAGATTAAGATATACAAATTCTTAACCTTGAAGTATATGATGTCAGAACCGCCATTTTGCAGTTTCTGGGTGCAAGCAACACACAAAGTTGATCTGCAATTCCAATTTATGGTAACACTGAAAAGGTCACTTCTTGCAAGAAATCTATCTACATTGAAGTATTGATTCAATGCCAAATCAATCAACTCTTGCCGATCTTCAGCTTGAACAACAGAAGTTCTTCTAACAGACTCGAGCACACCACATTCAGGTATCTTAACGAACGCTACCCTAATATGAGTGGCATACATTGGTAACTTATGCAATGGTTTAACTTCTACACTAATGAGAGCACTATCTTTTCTACTTTCAACCACATTGATGTCAAATAAAGGAGAAAATGTCTCCTTAGTTTGGGCAATAGACGATTTCAAACATGATACATGCAAACTAAGGTTAAACGCCAGAATCGGAGATAAATAAGCAGTTTCCTGATCTGTCTCGGGCAAGCAAACATCCCCATAGCTATGTGATGGCAAGACAGTAATAGCCCGAGGAGATTGTGAGGGAAGTGTTATGCAGTTGGGTAATGTCTGATCAGTATGGGGGGGATCAAGAGCGACCACTTGTCCAATTCTTTGTCCACTAGTGTCTACATTCTTGACAAATACCTAATTCCAGAGATGGAAGGTTAAAAGCAAGCACCAGAATGTAAATAAAAGTAACAAAAAACAAAGAACCTTAGAACCATATAAGAGAAAATCCTAAAACTCTCCCAAGTACAATCTTTTAAATCTCTTACAGTCCATACTAGGGAAAAGCCTATCCAGTTATACCATGGATTCATGTTTAACCAAATGCTCATTGATAATCGGTACTCCCTCCATCCTACAAAGACATTTCAGTTTTTCTTTGGGTGTGCGTTCAAATTTTCGTTTTCAGGTTTACCTCTACAGATTAACAAAATCAAAATCAAATATACTCCGGGTAAAAATGAAAATTGCTTACAAATTAATTGTCCCAAGTAACTTAATAATCACTTGCGAATTCATGTGACAAATCATCGTGGAGTATACTCAACTTAGTGTTGGAGCCAAGACTTTGAAGAGCGAAATTCAGAAAAAAGATACAAAGAAGAAGGTTTTTACCAGAGAGCCGGAAGTGATGGAGAGTTTTTTGAGAGAAGAAGTGGAAAGTCCGACCATCGAAGAATGGTCGAGAGATGCCACTGACTTCGGGGATGGAATGACATTCGGGTCCTTGGGAAATCGGAGAATTCCAGCTCGCAAGTGTATGCTGGCATTGATTGGGAAAGAGGAAGACTGGGGTTGAGTTGATTTTGTAAGGTTATATGGTTTATCATTGAGAATGGAGGAGAGATGTGCTTTGGTGGTGGAAAGTATTAAAGGCTTTCTCCTCTCCACCATGATCCTCGCCGGAGAAACAACAGTTTTGCTTCAAATTCCAGTCTTTGGCTCGGGTGATGGTTGAGCGACTCATCAACTGCTATTCTCGGAAATGTTTCCGGACCCGTACTAAAATTTCCTAAAAACATAGGGACATATTTGTATTTCTACTCCATCTTGTCACATTCAATTTTGTACAAATTTTAAACAATAATTTTAATTATTACTTTTGTAACTATTTTATGAGTGTTTATACCGTGCAACCGGTATACGGTTTTTCTTTTTTTTTTTTCCTTTTGTTTTTAAAAAATGGTAATAACTTTTTTATTTGTGATCTGATTTTTATAAAATTTATATCAACATTTTTTATTTTTCATGATCTTTCAAATGAGACCAATATTGCCTATGTAATTTTAACATATTAACATTTGTGTGTAAAATATGTAACTTTAAGTGTTAAAATATGTAACTCTTCAGTCAAGTCAAATGCAACTCGTGTGTATAAATATGTATCTCTACGTGTAACAATATGTAACTTTACGTAAAAAATATGTAACTCGCATTCAGACAGGTCACATGCAACTCGTGTGTATAAATATGTAACTCGCGTGTATAAATATGTAACTTTACGTGTAAAAATATGTAACTTTACGTGTAAATACATGTAAGTCGCGTTCAAGCATGTCAAATGCAACTCGTGTTTATATATATGTAACTCGCTTTTAAAAATATGTAACTTGCTTATAAAAAGATGTAACTTGCTTATAAAAAGATGTAACTTGCTTATAAAAAGATGTAACTCGCTCATAAAAAGATGTAATTCAATGTATTATCAAATGTAAATGAGGTCACTGATCCACTACCAAACAAATTCGATCTTCTATTTCACAAACCTATCATCTCCCAAACAGATTCGATTTTTCTTATAATCCAATACTCATTAATATAATATTTCGATAATTTCTTAAAATTACATACACAATATTGGTCTCATTTGAAAGATCATGAAAAATAAAAAATGTTGATATAAATTTTATAAAAATCAGATCAAAAATAAAAAAGTTATTATCATTTTTAACAACAAAAGCAAAAAAGAAAAAAAATCTGATCCTACGTCGTTTTTGCAACCGGACGCACCATCCTCGTGGTGCGCCGGTTGCACCATATAATTTGCGCTATTTTATACTTCGCGTAAATTTTATACTCCTACCAAATATTTTTAATGAAAAATATTTGTAATATAGTTTTTATATTTAAAAGATATCATTGATCATAATTAACTATCGTTAAGAAAAAAGATCAATTTGACAAGGAGTATAATCATCGTGTGTAGAGTGTAGAGCTAAATATAAAATCACTAAAATTATCGTGGGAGTCATATAAAAAATTATATTTTTATCCGATGCCTTTTTAATCATATATTTGTCATTATCTATTAAAAAGTGTAGTGCTCGTTTGATAATATCAAAATCAGTTCAATCGGCTGATTCCGTTAAAATTTGAAATTCTGGTTGAAGCGTTTGAATTGACTAATTCTGCTAATTTACGAAAAAATTATATTTACAATATATTTTATTAATAAAATGAAGAAAAAATAGTCACAACCAGAAAAGTAATTCCAATATCATTTATTATTATTATTATTATTAATTATTAATATTACACAATTGAACATGTGAAATCAAATTAATACGGAGTATTAAAAATAGCTCGATACCGTGAGCTTAGACTCGATTTTTTTCATTCCACACTAGGGGTGTAAACGAGCCGAGCTGAGCCCGAGCATGGGTATTGGGTATGCTTGAACTTGAGCTTGATAAGAATTCACGAGTTCAAGCTCGATCCGAGCTTGGACGAGTTAAATAATTCGTGCTCGAACTCGAGCCGAGCTCGGCTCGAGCTCAATTCGATCTCCGTTCGAGCTCGGGTCAAATATCACTAATTAATCTTTATAGGTTTGAACTCGAATAAGATGGATGAACTCGGACTAAAAATATAATATGTGTTTCTCATTTTTAATTTATCTCTCCTTTACTGATACTTTTATTCTTTATTTTACTATTATAATAATTACATATTATGGTTATAATAATAATACTACGCACATGTTATTATTTTGTAATTATTACTATTATACTTCGTGAAAAGGATTGAAAATGAAATAGTCTTAAATTAGAATATATATTCCAAAAAAGTACATATATAATTATTACATACTACGTATAAAATAGGCTTGCGAGCCGGCTTTCGAACCGAACTCGAGTCTACCTTGATATGACCGAAGTGGAGCACAGCTTTTCCTAACCTATCCCCCAGCTATCCACGAGCTGCTCAGACGAGGGGCTTCAGCTGTCGAAAAAGGAGCACCCGAGCAGCTAATTGGAATATAGGATCGACATCGACGAATTCGCCCGAGGCCATTGGCGCGATTATAGGTTTTGAATCTTCCGTACTTCAGGCTTCACGCCTCCAGGCTTCTGAATTTCGATCATTGCTTATCGTCTTCCCGAGTTGGGACTTGGAAAAGAGGAGATAGGAATCTGAGGACCGACTCATCGAGTCATCGACCAACTGCTTCTGGTACGCTGCAGTGAGGTGCACTTTAGAAGGTACGCCTCTTTTACTGATGGCTTTTAGTAATACAGGTTTTTACTACGGAGCATTTTTACAGATTGTGTAATAATTTGTGATTATGTAATATAACTATGATCTTGTGTAATTAGTGAACTTGTTAAAAACTTATCGTGATATTAAAACTTGTTATGCAATTAATTTGTTGTTATTTGGTTATTAGCCTAATCACACATATGTAAAATAGTACATTACCCCCGTTCATAACTTTGACCCTGCAGTCTGCAGCTTGTTTCAAAATTCCAACACTTTTTTTTGGGTAAGCTAATGTGTTGAGGATTTCCTTAGACTATATGATACCATTTCTAAGTTCTAACTATGCCAATGGTTTAGAGAGGGCTTGTAAGGCGCCAGCCTTAAGAAGCCGTGAAAAAAGCCTTGGTTTAGCCCTCAGGCGAATGAACTTAGCCTTGAGCCAATAAGCCTTATTTACATTTCTGTTTTGAGTTTTTTATTGGCTTATTAGTACTATGCAAGATAGTTGCAAAGCTGCGGAGTCATTGAGCTACTATGGCTAATTGGCTACTATTCTCTGCTTTCCCACGAGGTTCAAACAAATCAACATTATTTCCTCCCCTTTTATTTGAGCTGTAACAACAGATGATACATAAGTTCTTTAACACTTTCTTTTTATAATTTAGTGAATTATAAAATTCTTTTCTTTATTATAAAGGTCTTCAAGTATTATTATTATGCTTGCTAGTTTAGACTAGAAAAGGTTTTTACAATTTTTTTAAAATTAAACCCATTATACGTTTCTCGCTCCGCCTTGAAATCGATAGGAGCAGGCAGCCCTAGTTGTGCCTATATTTGAAAATATAACAAGTTCAAGATAATGAATGAAACATTAATTTACAAATTAAACACTAACGCAATAATTCATTACTAAAAGTATACTTTGTTTTGTGAATTTAAAACCCACACATAATTAAAGGGTTTCATATTTTTCAACATTTCAATATTTGCACAAAATCTTTATAATTTTTTGTGTTATCAAATTCATCCAAAACTAATACAAGTATGCTTTATTATACTTCGTATATTTTCACATTATCATATTGAAAATGTATTCAAAACTAATGGACTATTTAAGTATTTATCTGTGATTTCATAGACATAATTGTGAATGACTTAGTATATCAACCATTATTTCATGTTTGTTTCTAACTTAATACTTAATAGGAAACCATTGAAATATGCTAGATTATGCATTTCCATTATAGAATTGTATGTTAATAAGTGTATTTCTCATCGACATAATATAAACATAACACTACATTCAGTATATGCAGATTTTTTTTCCACAAAAATAATAAACATTCTCATACATATATATGACTTAATCCAAACAAATAACATAATTGAAAAATAAACAAATAAGTAAAAATAAAATTATTAGTTTTTTTATTTAAGAAATAATAATAGATATACGATTAAAAAATGCAGTGGATGAAAGTTTGATCTTATATGATTTAGTGATTATAATAGTAATCTGAGTAACTGCATCATAGTCCGATTTTATGCCACAATAACCATAATATTATAGTAGTACATAATAATAACTTCAATTATTTTTTATTCGTAAATTCATTTTCTACAAACACTTAAAGAAAATATCTTGTAGAATGTTTAAGTTAAGAATGTTTCAGGGAGTACAATTTTATGGGAAAAGGATCCAATAAGGCCTTCTCGTATTATGGAATCATAACATAAGATCATGTATTCAATAAAATGTCACATAAATACGTCTTCTTATAAAAAGCAATCGGATGAGTCATAACGACCTTTTGACAACCTCCTAATCCCGGTTTTAGCTTACGTCTGGTTATCTTTTTATAAATAGATAGTATGGGTTGCGTGGAATATTTAGCTCAGGTTAGCTAAATAATACAAGGCAAAATATTAACACTTGAGCTGAATCCAGAATTATGAGGTTGGCGATAGATCGTTAGGACTCATCCGATTTTTATTTATAAGTAGACGTATTTAATTATTCATAGGATACTTTATGAAGTACATAGCTTTATTTGATCCGTTTTCCCAATTTTATTAGTGGATTTTTCACCGTCTTTTCCCGGCCATTTCCTATTTCCATCTCAAAATTGTCATTCCAAATTTGTTGTTTTTGACTTTTTGCCGAGTCGAACCCTAATATCACATACCAGTTTATTTCAAATTCGACGAAGTAGTGAAGGATCACTTTTTTCATTTGGGTTCATATCTGTTTTATTGCTTTTGATAGTGTTGGATCACTTGGATGTCAAGCAACAAAGACAAATGTTTTAATTCTCCGTATGACATTTCGACTAATTCCACAAAATTGTCAGAATAACTTCATACTCCCTCCGTCCCACTAACAATGGGACAAGAGGGAGTGACACGCAAATTAATAAAAAGTGGTTTATGTGGTTGATATTGAATTGATAAAGTAAGAATAAAGTAAGAATGATTTAGAGCCGCACAAACTTTACCAAATTTGGTATGGGACAATCTTAGT